ACTTCATGGAAACTGAACACCTGGCTCTTGAATGTTGACTGGATAAACAATGAAATGAAGGCAGAAATAAAAGATGTTCTTCAAAACCAATGAGACACAACGTATCAGAATCTCTGGGACACATTAAAGCAGTGTCTAGAGGAAAATTTATAGCAATAAATGCCCACATGAGAAGCAAGGAAAGATCTAAAATCAACACCCTATCATCAAAATTGAAAGAGCTAGAGGAGCAAGATCAAAAAACTCAAAAGCTAGCAGAAGACAAGAAATAACTAAGATCAGAGCTGAACTAAAGGAGATAGAGACACAAAAAAATCCTTCAAAAAAATCAGTAAATCCAGGAGCTTGTTTTTTGAAAAGATCAACAAAATAAACATACTGCTGCCCAGATTAATAAAAAAGGGAGAAGAATCAAATAGATGCAATAAAAAACGATAAAGGGGATATCACCACAGATTCCACAGAAATACAAACTAAAATTAGAGATTACTACAAACAGCTCTATGCACATAAACCAGTAAACCTGGAAGAAATGGTTATATTCCTGGACACTTGCACCCTCCCAAGGCTAAACCAGGAAGAAGATGAAAGCTTCAACAGACCAATAACAAGGGCTGAAGTTGAGGCAGCAATTAATAGCCTATAACCAAAAAAAGCCCATGTCCAGATGGGTTCACAGCCGAATTCTACCAGACATACAAAGAGGAGCTGGTACCATTCCTTCTGAAACTACTCCAAACAATCCAAAAACAGGGAATCCTTCTCAAATCATTTTATGAGACCAACATCATCCTGATACCAAAACCCAGCAGAGACTCAACACAAAAAGAAATCTTCAGGCCAATATTTATGATGAACATCAATGCAAAAATCTGCAATAAAATACTGGCAAGCCAATTGCAACAGCACATCAAAAAGCTTATCCATCATGATCGAGTAGGCTTCATCCCGGAGATGCAAGGCTGGTTCAACATACGCAAGTCTATAAATGTAATCCACCACATAAACAGAACCAAAGACAAAAACCATGTGATTATCTCAATAGATGCAGAGAAGGCCTTTGACAAAACTCAACAGCCCTTTATGATAAAAACTCTCATCTCAAAATAATAAAAGCTATTTACAACAAACCCACAGACAATATCATACTGAATGGACAGAAACTGGAAGCGTTCCCTTTGAAATCTGGCACTAGACAAGGATGCCCTCTCTCACTACTCCTATTCAATATAGTATTGGAAGTTCTAGCCAGAGCAATCAGGCAAGAAAAAGAAATAAAGGGTATTTAATTGGGAAAGGAGGAAGTCAAATTGTCTCTATTTGCAGATGACATGATTGTATATTTAGAAGACCCCATTGTCTTAGCCCAAAATCTCCTGAAACTGATAAGCAACTTCAGCAAAGTCTCAGAATACAAAATCAATGTGCAGAAATCACAAGCATTCCTATCCAACAATAACAGACTTAAAGAGAGCCAAACCAAGAATGAACTGAGATTCACAATTGCTACAAAGAGAATAAAATACCTAGGAATACAACTAACAAAGGATGTAAAGGGCCTCTTCAAGGAGAACTACAAACCACTGCTCAAGGAAATAAGCGAGGACACAAACAGGTGGAGAAACATTCCATGCTCATGGTTAGGAAGAATCAATATTGGCCATACTGTCCAAAGTAATTTATAGATTCAACGCTATCACCATGAAGCTACCTATGACCCTCTTCACAGAACTGGAAAAAACCACCTTAAACTTCATATGGAACCAAAAGAGAGCCCACATAGCCAAGACAATTCTAAGCAAAAAGAACAAAGCCGGAGGCATCACGCTACCTGACTGCAAACTATACTGCAAAGTTACAGTAATCAAAATAGCATGGTACTGGTACCAAAACAGAGGTATAGACCAACAGAACAGAACAGAGGCCTCGGAGGGAATGCCACACATCTATAACCATCTGATCTTTGACAAACCTGACAAAAACAAGCAATGGGGAAAGGATTCCCTGTTTAATAAATGATGATGGGAAAACTGGCTAGCCATGTGCAGAAAGCAGAAACTGGACCCCTTCCTGACACCTTACACTAAAATTAACTCCAGATGGATTAAAGACTGAAACATAAGACCTAACACCATAAAAACTCTAGAAGAAAACCTAGGCAAAACCATTCAGGACATAGGCATAGGCAAGGACTTCATGACTAAAATACCAGAAGTATTGGCAACAAAAGCCAAAATAGACAAATGGGATCTAATTAAACTCCAGGGCTTCTTCACAGCAAAAGAAACAATCATTAGAGTGAACCGGCAACCAACAGAGTGGGAAAAAATTTTTGCAATCTACCCATCTGACAAAGGGCTAATATCCAGAATCTACAAAGAACTAAACAGATTTACAAGAAAACAAACCCATTCAAAAGAGGGCAAAGGATATGAATGAACACTTTTCAAAAGAAGATGTATATGAAGCCAACAAACATATAAAAAATTTTCATCATCACTGGTTATTAGAGAAATGCAAATCAAAACCACATTGAGATACCATCTAACACCAGTTAGAATGGCAATCATTAAAAAATCTGGAGACAATAGATTCTGGAGAGGATGTGGAGAAATAGGAACAGTTACACTGTTGGTGGTAATGTAAATTAGTTCAATCATTGTGGAAGACACTGTGGCGCTTCCTCAAGGACCTAGAAACAGAAATTCCATTTGACCCAGCAATTACATTACTGGGTATATATCCAAAGGATTATAAATCATTCTATTATAAAGATACATGCACAGGTATGTTCACTGCGGCACTGTTTATAATAGCAAAGACCTGGAACCAACCCAAACGCCCATTTATGATAGACTGGACAAGGAAAATGTGGCACATATACACCATGGAATACTATGCAACCATAAAAAATGATGAGTTTGTGTCCCTTGTAGGGACATGGATGAATCTGGAAACCACCATTCTCAGCAAGCTGACACAAGAACAGAAAATCAAACACTGCATGTTCTCACTCATAAGCGGGTGCTGAACAATAAGAAAACATGGACACAGAGAGTGGAACATCACACACTGGGGTCTGTTGTGGGGGACTAGGGGAGGGACAGCAGAGGGTAGGCAGTTGGGGAGGCATAACATGGGGAGAAATGCCAGATATAGGTGACAGGATGGAGGCAGCAAACCACATTGCCATGTATGTACCTATGCAACAATCCTATATGTTCTGCACATGTACCCCAGAACCTGAAGTGCAATTTTACATATATATATATATATATAAAATCACTTTCTACAAAAGAAAGCACCAGGCCCAGATAATTTCCCTGGTGAATTCTACCAAACATTTAAGAAAGAAACAATACCAATTTTCCACCATCTCTTCCAAAATTAAAGGCAGAGGGAACATTCCCTAACTCATTACATGAGCCCAATATCACCAAAACCAGATAAAGACACCATGAGAAAGGAAAACTACAATGCCTCTCACAAACACAGATGCAAAATCCTCTGCAAAATATTAGCAAGTCAAATCAACAATGTATAAAAAGATACACCATAACAAGGCAGGATTTATTCCATGTATGCAAAGATAGCTCAACATTTGAAAATCAATCTATGTAATTCAGGCTGAAGAAGAAAAATACATGATGATATCAACTGACACAGAAAAAAAAATCTGAAAAAATGCAATACCCATTCATGATAAAAGATTTCAACAAAATAGGAAAGGAACACAAAAAAACTGAAAGTCAACATCACACTCAATGGTAAGAAATTGAAAGCTTTTCTCTGAAGACTGGGAACAAGGTAAGGATGTTCTCCCTTACCACTCTACTCAACATTTCATTGTAAGTCCCACCTAGCGCAGCAAGACAAGAAAAGAAAAAGACATGCGGATGGGAAAGGAAGAATGCTATCTTTATTTGCAGATGAAATGACTGTGTACGTAAAAACACAGGCAAGCGTCCAGGTTTAGCTCTTGAGCCATAGTTTGCCAACTCTTGCTAGAATGCCATGTTTTTATACTAAGTTACAATGTACTCATTACATTATTCATTACATGGCAATCCCTACTCAACTGTCTGCCCTGAATGAAACAGATAATTTTAAAAGGTAAAAGGTGGTGGTGATAATGAGAAGAATGGCCTCTGTCTAAAAACAGATTTATGAAAGTAAAACTCTATTTTTAAATATTGCCTTAAAAATCCCTATATTTAATGACTCTGTAATACTTGAGTTACTTATCAGTCTTCACATTAGTAGTTTATTATTTACACCATGCCCAAGACATTTTATCTACAGTCCTTCCCTCAATAAAACAGAATATATGTGGAAAAAAAAATGGTCTGAAAAAACGTTAAAATCACTGACACAGGGGCAAGATCCTACCCCAGAGATGATCCAGTTCTGTGGTTTTCAAATGATAATCCACGGAACTGTATAATTTTTGAAGGTGTCTTGAGGACTATTACAGGACAGGGGAGAAAGACTGGGGTTTTTGGCATTTTCTGCTTTAGAAAGATCAGATCCATTATTAATTGTCTCATAAAGTGTTCCATGACCAAACTTTTAAAAATCTATGATTCTAATCCAACATTTTGCTTTTCTCAGAGGCTTGCTGCAACCTTAAAAGCAGAGGTGGTAACAGAATCGTGGTTTCTTGACTATTAGGCATCCTTTCTATACCATCCAGCTTGCTTAGACAGTTACAGTATGGTAACTGTCCAAAAATTAATGTTCCAACCTGTAAACAGTTTCTCCTGAAGTTTAATTATAATCATATATATGTATATAAACACACACACACACACACACACACACACACACACACATATATATATATACATGCACCAAAAAAAAAAAACCTCTATTTGAGAAGTCTTAACTTTAAAAAATTAAGTTTCTTTTAAAGAGAACTTTGTCACAACAGTTACAGAATTATACAGCAAGTCAGAGATTATTCTCACTTTCAACTAAAAAATGCAGACTATAAAAGGTACCTTTTCAAGTCCAGATTTTGAGATCTTTTCAGTCCCACTATTGGTTTCAAGGCAGATTCCTTCATCAACACCATCATCATTGGAGAAATCATTACTCATCTGATCACTGTGACAACTACCTTCATTTTCTGCACCACTGTCAGTGCAACTTTCAGTTTGAGGAGATTTCTTAATAAGACATAATTATTTTAGTTATAAACCAAATACAGAGCAAATATGTTCAACAAAAATTTGTACCTATATAGTGCTAACATTTTCACACAATTTAACATATTATTAGTAAAAATATTTTACTTTAAGCAAATTTATTTTCTCTTAAAAAGTGAGACCTTAAGTAAAATTAAATAGGCAAAGTGTATTTTAAAAGCTTTTCTATTATGTCCTTAAAATTTAAACACAACAAATTAGTGATTCAGAATTCTATTAAATTTCATTTATGTGTACTGTTACAACATAACAGTTGAAACTATGCTGAAAAATTATTGTTTCTTTTAGCAAAATCCACAAAATCAGAGAAGCTGGGCTTCAAAAGGAGCTTTTGATGTTCTCAAATTATAAAAGAATATCATCTCTTTTCTTGAACAAAAAGTTCAACACTAGCGACACATAGCTATAAAAAAAAAAAGTTCAACTCAGTTTATCATCAGTGATATAATTATCAGGTATTATAATTAGAAAGAAAAATAAGACATAGCATTTATCCTTAAGAATTTTATGGTCTTTTCACAGGAAGTAGAAATAGTTATAGCACATTATACTTTTCCACTTTATGATTTTTAAACCACATTCACACAAATGTAATTTGAAGAATTCTCTTTGTTAAAAAACCCCAAACAATCTTTTCCCCTCTTTTTAACGTTTTATATACATCCCTAAAAATGTTATTTAAATAATTTGAGAATTTTCTATTTTTGAAATGTGTAAGGCTTTGCACAGAAGTTCTTGAGTGCAAAGAAGCAATATACAATCAGCACAAAGTTTTCGCCAGGATCTCTGCAGTAGGTACTACATCTAGTATACAGTTTTCATCTCTCAAGAAGGTTAGGTTCAAGGAAAAATGGAGGTGAAATCCAGCTATAGAACTAAGTCCAAAGAGATACTATAATTCCTGAAACTCCTTTAGCTGAGCCAAAACATTTCTTGTCCCAAGAACTAGGCCTAGAACTCTCTATAAAGTTTCTACTAAGCTTCATATATAGGTTTTCTTTCTTTGGAAAAGATTTCCCTTTAAAAGAAATATATTAGGCATATTCAGAAGACTAATCTAATACTGATCTCTGAGTAGAAATCCTACAAAGAATATGCCTCCTTTGAAAGTCTGGCACACTTTGGGTAGATTTCCTAGCTTAAGCAGAAGTGTCTTAGACATTACTTTAAACTTTTCAAAATGTAATCTGATCATGGTTACCATTCAATGAGCAGCTACTTCATCTAAGGCATCTGGAAATGAGGCTCAAAAGGTTTCATGACTTATCCAAGGTCAAGAGGCTAGCAAGCAGTAGGGCAAGAATTTGAACTCATATCTAGCTAGGCCTAAAACATGTGCTCTTCTATACCACACTGCCTCACAGTACTTACTAGTACTAAATAAAACTTGATGAATGTTTATTTTTGAACTCCTGAGAAAAGGCATCTTTATAACTATAGAAAACAGTTCCAATAAAAAAAAAAAGCTTCAAGGTAATTCTGAGACTAATATTTATCACTTTGAAATAATTAGCCTAAGTGATTATAAATATTCCACATAATAAAATCAGAAGAGTTTCCGTAGTAATAGAGTGCAATATTGTAAACTTTTCATTGAAAAAGGATAGAGGAACCCGGGAATTCTGGTAGGCCAATGAGTGGAAAGAAATTGATAAGCATTACATGTGTCATTCAATATCCCATGCTTATTTAAATAAGGTTTCAAATTAAAAAAATTAAAAAACAGACAAAACAGTAAATAAATATAAAATAAGTAAATACAAGAATTTAAGCCCATGCTACTCAGTTGGTTCATTCATTCCATCATAGGCATTTGTCTGCATTTGTTATGGATCAGAAACATGAGTATGGCTTACCTGCAGACTAGTTTCAGTACCAACACAATTATAGAACATAAGATTATGATTCAACTTTAAGAAATAATTCCAAAGCTGAGTTTTCTTATTGTCTTTTCAAAGAGTACCATAAATTACTCTGATCAAGCAAGAATATTTAAAATATAATTTATGCAGTCAGGAAAAGCTTATATAAAGTTAAGTCATTTTATTGAACTCCACATTAGAAAGTAAGAAGAAGTTTCTACCAAGATAACAGTCTAAATAACATCACTGTTGTTACCAAACAGCTCTTTCAAAAACATGACTGACTAATGTGGATTAATGAAAACCACTTTATACTAACAAATATTTACCTCATCTTCAACATCAATAAATGTACTCATATCTAGTTCCTCAGGAAATGTCATTCGATCATTCAGTTTAATTCTATGCATCGTCGTGTAATCAAAATCAAATCTTTTGAGCTGTAAGGTCAGCAGATAAGGGAAATGCAAAAACCGAAGGCCCTAAAAAACAAAAAACAAAAAGGAGGAGACCCTATTGAATGTGGAATATTACCTCAGAGTCCTAAGTATTAATCTCTACATGGCATTTACCTTCCGTGCATCACATTTCTTCTTACAACGTTCACAAAAGTATTGATTTGGGCCATCCAGAATCTCTGGCTGAATAAATGCATGCAATGCTTCTTCCTAGTTAGAAAAAAAAAAATTACTTAAAATATTATATTAATGACAAAATCCTGAATAAAAAAAAAGACTACAATTACCAAAACAGTTATAAGTAGAATGGTTAGAAATTTAGGAACTCAAAAGTACCAAGGAAAATTATCAACAATTAAATAATATTATCACTACAAAGATTAGGCAAAAAAAAAAAAAATTTCATTCTATACAAGATTTGCCTTAGTATTGCAGTATCACAGTCACTTTGACATGATTTTCACTGACTTTACATGGCAGTTTTTGGCTAAATAATCTTAAAAAAAAATCCTCAGTCCTTAAATAAAAAGTAATTCAATACTTCTAAGAAAAACAGTTACATGTATCACTTCGATCTTGTTATGTAAGGAGGCATTTTAAAACTATACAGTAAACATCAATGCTCTCTAAAGAATTCACACTTTTCATACACTTAAAAATCATGTAAGCATCCTTAATCACCATAGTTAGGATCAGTCAGTAATCTACCACTGCACTAGTTATAAAGATTGAAAAACACTGTGCAACCTTCTCAGTGTGTGTGAGATACCTGCTCCTCCATTTGAAAATGTATAATGAGGCTCCTGGATTGTTAAATTAGTAAAACCATGTGGTTCTCTTTTCTCCATACAGCATTACAACAGAAGTAAGAAACTTCGTATAAATACTGCTGAAGAATCAGTGGGTATAAAGTTAATTTTTATTTTAATAATTGGTTTTTCACAATTAAAAAATTCATTAATATAGCATCTAAGATTGGATGCATAATCTCAAATTTCATCTGATGTTCTCTCTTTTCTTCACACATGGGCTAGGCAGAACTACTTATATTAGTTTATATTACATATAAACTAAAAGAAATGAAATTATTAAGACAAAGTATCTTCAAATATTTTTCTTTTGATATAGAACAAGCTGTTCCTTGAAAGATAAAGGAACTTAATGGTTGTAGTTGCAAAATAGCTGGCAAGGCTTAGAAAACTACTGTCTACATATTGTTTGATACAGATCACTTTGGAACAAGATAAAAATAAGAAAAGACATTGATATTTAAAGGTGTCTAAACCCATCTGATCCTCCATTTTGTTCTCAGAACACAAGGAAATGAGTGGGGAAGAAACCAAACAGCTCGGTTTTTTTCCCCACATGACCATGCATTTTATTGGTGGTCAAAGGACACATTTAGAAAATGTTTTTTTCCTATCAAGTATATTTTAAGGAAAAAAAAAAAAAAAAAAAAAAAAAAAAAAAAAAAAGGAAAGTTCTATAAAAACGTAACAGAAAAACAAGCTTTAAAAGAAATAATATCTATAGTTTAATATAGACTGATATTCAATGGCAGGCTTTCCAAAGGGTGGTAATTTGAACTGGTAAAACACTCAATATTCAAAGGAGGAGGGGAGAGGGAGAGTGAGACAATTATGAAACTAAAATTCTACTTTGGTGTATGTGTATTGGTCTCTGGCTTACAGTTCAAACCAAGAGATCTTAAAAAAAATTTTTTTTTAAGCTTGGAGAAAAGTTTAAAGAACAGAGAACTCGCAAATACTTTACTCAAATTCATCAACTTTTAAGCATTTTTGCTAGCTTTGCTTTATCTCCCCAACCCAACATTGTTTCTTTGTTTTAGCCATTTGAGAGTAGGTTCACACCTCATGCTTTGCCTCATAACTCATAACTTCAATATGACTTTTTAAGAATAAGGATATTCTTACATAAACAGTAATCAAACTCTGGAAAATTTAATATTGCTAAAGTAATTTAATCATCCATATTCCAATTCTGTCAATCACCCTAATAATATATTTCTCTCCATCCAGTACAGAATCTAACCCAAGGCCACAGATTTAGTTTGGTCTTTTGAGATTCCTTTCATCTGGTGGCATTCCAGAGTTTGTCTTTCTTTTATAACATTGGTATTTTTTGAAGAACAGAGGTCACTTATTTTACAAAACATTCTGCAATTTGGGTTTGTCAGCTATTCTTCATTATTAGATTTTACACATTCCTTGCTAGGCTACTATAAGATGTGCCCTTCTAAGTGTATCATAGTCACAGGCCATGATCTACCTAACTTTCTCTTTGGTGATATTAATTTTAATTATCTGGTGAAGGTACTGTCCAGTCTTTCTACTATATAGTTATTATTTTTACCCTCACGGCTAATGAGGAATCTGTAAGGAGATACTGTAAGGAGAATCTGTAAGGAGATCATGCAAAAATCCTGAGCCTTACCAAATCTTCCACCCTTGATTTTAGCATCCATTCACAGATTCCTGTCTAAACCAAATTTTAACATTTGCTTTCTGAACCAACTTGAAAATCTTTTTAATAGGCAATTTAAACCCCTCATATTTGATATGACTGATATGCTTGGTTCTACCTCAGTCACTACTGTGTAATTACTGCGTGTATTAGGTAATATTTACTGTGTTCCTTTCTCTACATGCTTTGTTATTTTTTACATTTTTTTTGGTATGTAGCAAGGTTTATAATTTTATTCTAGTTACTTTTGCATTTATAGTGTTTTTACACCCCTTTAATTTCCACCTATCCCCTGTCCCTACATTTATTTTTTCTTAAGCTTTTTGTGTCTGGTTTGTCAGTTTTAAATGGTCTCCTTTATTCCCCACCCACACAACAGCCTGTGATCTTACTCGGCTTTCTGTTTCTCTCCCCCTTCTCCTCCTTTTGAAAAGTGGTATTATTTGTACTTTGTCTAACATGTAACATTTCATACTGTTCTTCTACCCATGTTCCCACCTTTGTATTTAGTCCTTAATTTAATATAGCAAATGCTCACAGTTCTTTTACTGAAGCTGCCCCAATAATCTCTTGGTTGGGTTAAGCTAATCCTCTAATGAACTCCTCAAGGGCTCATAGATACAATATCCAATGAGTTCTTGAATATTCAAACTTGCCTTTTTATAGGTGTCATAATTAAGAAAAACTTGGCTGGCTATCAAATTCTTGGCTGGTACTTTCTTGAATTTCTGGAAATTGCTACTCTGTTGGCATGATTTGCACGTTGTTCTTCTGAAATGTGTTGCCCGTCCAATTCATCTTTTTTTTTTTTTAGATGAGGTCTTGCTCTGTCACCTAGACTGGAGTGCAGTGCCGTGGTGGCTCACTGCAGCTTTGACCTCCCTAGCTCAAGCCATCCTCTTACCTCAGCCTTCTGAATAGCTAGGACTACAGCACATGCCACCACAACTGGTAATTGTTTTTTTAATTTTGTAGAGACATGGTCTCAGTATGTTGCCCAAATTGGTCTCAAAGTCCTGGGTTCAAGGGATCCTCCTGCCTCAACCTCTCAAAGTGCTAAAATTACAGGCATGAGCCACTGCGCCCAGCCTCAATTCAACTTATTTATTTATTACATTTTTAGAGACACAGTCTTGCTTCGTTGCTCAGACTGGAGTGCAATGGTGCAGTCTTGGCTCACTGCAGCCCCCGCCTCCTGGGTTCAAGCGATTCTTCTGCCTCAGCCCTCCAACTGGGACTACAGGTGCATGCCACCATGCCTGGCTAATTTTTGTATTTTTAGTAGAGACAGGTTGTTGGTCAGGCTGGTCTCAAACTCCTGAGCTCATGATCCGCCTGCCTCAGCCTCTGAAGTGCTGGAATTACAGGTGTGAGCCACCTTGCCCAGCCTCAATTCATCTTTAGTATTTTACTAAAACACATCTCAGAGTTTATCATTTCAGGTCCTTCAAAAGGTAGGTTTAACATTTCCCTTATTCCCAGAAAGTTTATCTAAATTATAATTTATCTATTAATTCTTTTCCACTGTTTTATTTTTCTTCTTCACAGACTCCAGTTATGTTGGACATCCTTTGCTGGTCTTCTCTTTCTATATATTCTTTTTCCAAGATCCTTTTTATTTTTACAAAAAATCTCATTTCCATGTAATGTCCTTCATTAGATTTTCATTCTTTCTATTTTCTCTTGAGCATTTGGTAATTTATCCTTCACTTCCAAGAGTATCTTTGTCTTTTTCTTCGTTTCTTTCCTGAATTTGATGAACTCCCATTTGATTTCTTCCAGTGTTT